GGGGAAGGAGGGAGGGGACTCTTGGTGATCTCTCCTGAAGGGGATAATGGGGAAAAGGCAGCACATCGCAATGGCTGCCGTGTAGCACCCTCCCTGCACAATTAGCCAATCAGCGGCGTCCTTTGCCAGGCAGGAGGACGCATAAAAGAAGAACATTGCAGCAGAGGCGCACAAGGAGATTGCGAAAGGAGCAGGGAATTACACTCAAACACGGCAGGACCACAACACCCTCCCCTGGACACACCCTGCTGAGGATCACTGCTGCCCTCTCTCTCTCTCTCTCTCACACACACTCTCTCTCTCTCTTCCCCTTTTTTTTTTCTCCATCTCAATCAATCGCCTACGCCACTCGGAGAGAAGGCCCCCTCATCATCATCACCGCCACCACCATCCAGTAAGAATAACAATAAAAACAACAACCAACAACAACAACATTCTCCTTTATTTTTTCCACCCTGAAGAGGACACCGACAATCTCCGAAGGCTGAGATTACCCCCCCACCCAACACCACCAACCGCGGAAATTTTAGATTTTTTTCCCCCCCTTTTTTTTTTTTTTCTTTTTTTTTTTTCCTTTTCTTTTATTTCGGACGTCGGCACGCGCAGAGGACTGTGTAATTCAAAGGGGGGGGAAAAAAAAGAACAGAAGAAAAGATCACGTCAAGACTTCGCGATCCAGGATCAGAACAAAAGACGGACCTAGCTTTCTTTGAATTGTACGTCAAGAATGGTTACTGTACGTATGATTTTTCCTTCTTCTTCTTCTTTTTCTATTTATTGTTATTATTATGATGATGATGATGGTTACGAATATTGTTCCCAAATGTCGTGTAACCGCATGATGACACGATAGCGCTGCTTTTAATGAGATGCACACATGTGTCACGGCCCGATACACACGTCGTTCGCACGCCGGATTACAGCTTCGGTGGAGATACGGCTAATAACACACACACACACACACACACACGCATACGACGTAGAAACGATATGCGGCGGTTAGCGCTTTATTATTAGCCTTCTCACATTGATACGTGCGCCATGCCGGCTCTCTGTGTGTCTGTCTGTCTCAGTCCTCAGCATCAGCATCAGCACCAGCATCAGCATCAGCCGCGAAATGGATAAAGTCTGTATCCTGCCATTTTAGATACAACACACACACACACTCTCTCTCACACACACACACACATGGTGTCGCAGCAGATTTCTCTAATGATGCATGAGTTCTGCAGGAATTCTGCAGGATTACATTGGTGAAGTAAAGGGGGGGGGGGCTGGGGGGGGGGGG